AACTGTAGCATTTCTGTTAAAAGAGTCATTACACTACTTGTATATCCAGATTGTTTGTATTGTCCATATGTAGCAGTAAAGTTTACAGAGCCATCCCTACTAGCAATAAATGATTGGAATTGTAAAGCTTTATTATGTTAACCAGGTATAATCAGACTTTAAACAATATGTAAAGAGAAGTAAGGAATAAGATGACTCACAACCATCACTTATTTTTGCTTCAAGTTTCTCTACATCAGTTTGCATAGTATGTGACAAATAAGACCAGTTCTGAGTTATAAAGTCTTGAAACTTTTGATTTGCATTTGCTACCATTATTGAAGTAAAATATTAGATAGTTTGTTGTACTTGTATTTATACTTGGGTATTAGATTTTAAAGTTGTCCAGCTACTCTTTAAATACATTTACTATATTGCATCCTATTACAGATGAAACATTTAGGTTCAAACACATTATTTTGTGCAAACATGTACTTTTCTATATAGGAAATAAGGTAAAAATAACTACTATTAAGAAAATTGCAATATACTATATATATAACTTTGTAAGTACTACAGTATCTTACTAGTACATATAAATTTCCTATTAGTACATGAAACATGCAATATACTATAAATATAACTTTGTACACATTAGAGCCTCTATTACAACTCTAACTCTTATAAGTAATAAGTAGAAAGTAAAGAATAAAGGTGGCTGAAAGGATACTTAGTATAGTGAACAGTCTTGTACAATGTACAGTGTTTATTATATATTGTATTAGACCTTACTTTACTTCTTTCTTTTTTGTAAAAGGACTAGCTTAAGAGTACAAACATAATACTAAGACTAATAGAGACAGTAGTAGGATGATTCCTAGTAAAGGAGGGAGTAGTGAGCCAACTACAGACTTCTATCCAGGTTTACTTAGTGTTCAATCTCTTTGTACAGAGCAAGAATTGTTTGTGTTTCATAGAATACAGACAGAGAATTCATACTAAAGAATGAGACTTCTGACAGTGTATACTACTACAGTGTGTGTCAAAAGTATTGCAACACACCACGTGTTTTTCATTTTGCCTCTACACGTCATTCCACACAACACTTATGCCCATATAAATTACATGTAAATTAAGTGTGATATACTGTGAATATATGTATGTAAAAAAGACTGCAAAATGTGCAGTAATTATACGAGACGGACGGATCTAAAAAAAACATGCTGTTGCATTACATATGTGCACAGCACATACACTTTAAAAAGGCTGCCCCAGTGCTCATTATTTCAACACCTGTGCCTCCTTTTGCACCCTGGGCTTTAGTATTACCTCTATTCTACTCTATGCACTACACTACACCCACTTGTAAAGCGCATCTATTGGACTACAAGCACGCTGGCATGTCTCACTCTGAGTGTGCCAAAAGGCTTGGCCTTTCTCGTTCTACCGTCTCCCGATTGCACCACAAGCTCCTCCTTACTGGTGATCCGTACTTTGTTATGCCCAAGCCAGGTCGTCCCA